GGTGGCACTGCGGCTTCGTAGATCGCAGGCCAGGGGTCTCTGCTCTGAGAGGGCGCACTGATTATCATTAACGCTGAGAACACAGTAGTATAATAGTGTTCCAGAAAGTTCCCTCATGAACGCAACAAGGAGATTTATGTAAAGACATATGAACTGCAGCTTATAGCTAGGCCAAAATATGACTGACAATTGAGTTACATTTTTCACAGAAATATTAGAATATTAGAATTAGAACTGAGAATTAGAAAATTCTTAATGAAGTTATATAAGAACACTGTTTCTATAATGCTAATCCTACTGGGAACAAGTAAAAATCAAGTAATCCCACAGGGATTAAATCAATCTTGCTTCATCTCAAATTGCATCACATGGTGTACTATGGCATTTTGTTTAACACATCACACTTTTATGGATATTAAGCAAGATAATTAAGCAGGTCTCGTCTTATATTTCCAATTAACAGATAGCTGCATAATGATAGAAGCATTTCTTGGGACGAATCAAAAAGCCAATGATGTGTCATCTGCATTCTCACACTACCATAAAGGTATTGCAGTGTAATTGGAGTCACTTTTAAAAAGTGATATAACTCAAAAAAGAAGCATTTTCCAAAGGCAATCCTTCCATCTGTGCAGTCCAGGACCTCACCACTGCTTAAAATGACTTGATCACTAATTAATATAAGTTTTGATCCCTTTATGGAAAGCAACATTCAAAATGTTGAGATGCAAGCCTTAACTAACTAGTAAACCACACTGCACATTTAAGACAAAAATGCTAACGAGTAGAGACACACTCTCCATTTTTACAGGAAGATATCCCTTCATCAACATATGACAGCCATGTCATTCACTGTGTATTTACAAGTGTCCTTCAATGGGAGATACATTTGTCTTTGACTTTCAACAAGCTCCAGCTACTGCTTTCTCATGCTTATCAATATGCCTATATATAGGTTTTTATACAGGTTAAGCTGTTAACAGCAGAATCATTAGTTGTCTAGAGGCTTGTATTCTATACAATGTTAGCAGCTGTTATAGTGAGGTTTATGAGGGAAGCTTACTTCAGTTTGAAGAATAGCAGCCCGCTGTTCTTTGGCAGTCAGAGATTCCTTTAGCACCTCGATGTGTTGCTTGCAGTCCGAGTTTTGATTGTTCAGCGTCTCAAGTTTCGTTTGTAAGGCAAGGAGCTCAGACTCCTTCTTCGACACCTCGAGCTTCAATTGATCGATCTGCAAGTTACAGAGGAAGCTCCAAAGAGGCAATCGAGAGACGACTCTGCTGGATGGCTAACAGTGAAAGTGGGGGAGAATGGCCGCCTCTTGACCTAACCAAAGTGCTGAGTGGCGACAATTACCAGAGGCAGGGCTGCCAATTCACCACAGACGTGGTCAAAGCACTCTGAACATCATTATCAGCAATTTATGGCCTTAAAGCAAACTACACATAACTACAATTTATAATCTATCCATCCATCCATCTATCAATCAATCCATCCATTTTCTATACCCACTTGTCCTAGTTTTACAATACACCACAAAAACAAAACCTTGTAATTCGTAACACCCAGCATTTTCACTGCAAAAATCACCATCACTGATGGCATTACAGTCCTACTGAACAAACAGGTTGAAAAAACAGCAGGTTAAATAACAACCAGTTCAAGCAGTGAAACCAGCTGAGCACTGGTGAACAAACCAGCATGGAAGGCAATTTATCTTCTAGAGTAATACAAGCTGCCTCGTTAATTAAAATAGATTTTCTGCCACTAAACCCTGAAAAAGCACAATATATTAAAACCTATGAAAGTAAAAGCTACAAGGTTTGTCTTAAAAAAAAATCACCCCCAAACCACGAAAACAGAAAACTTACAAATTGCATTCTTTCTCCCACCTTAACTAATAATGGACTGACTCAATAGTTGTAGCTGCTGTTTTTTGGACTGTAAGAAATAATTCAATGGCACAGGGTATGAATATTCTTTAACACAGAGATAGAACTTATTGATTGTAGATCAACTTTCTGCAATTTATACAAAAAACGATAAATGTCAAGTAAATTCTGTAACAGCTCTTCTCTATAAAGATTATTGTGCACCAAAATAACATTGCCAGGGTTCAGAAAAGGGAGTAATGTACCTTGCTCTTCATGAACTTGGAATGGTTCTTGTAGACCTCCATCTGTTTGATCTCTTCCTCCCGATCCTCTGTGTTCAGGAGCCCATTCGCCTTCAGCAACTGGATCTCATCCTCCAGGTCACGGATATTCCTCTCCAAAGAGGCAATCTTAGTATCCTACATGGGAAAGTCACAAATCGAAAACTACCAAACATACCACAAACAAATCCTGTAAAAGATATTAAACTTAAAACAAAGTGCAATAATAATTATAATTATAAAGCATACAACAGTGACACATTTCTTCAAACATATAACCTGGAGTCAAAAAGACACAGCAATCATGTACGTAACATATGACGCAACATACCATACAACACAGCTCTAATTCCCATTTGGTGGATGAACCCTCATAATGAGACTGGAGGCACAGTTAGATGCACAGACGGTGATGCTCTGTGTGAGAGCGCAGCGTCCGCTCGGCCATGAGCTCTGCCTCCAGCGAGCTCTTTAAATAAGTAATAGCACGTCTCATGGATTTGGCATGCTACATCTCCCGGTCCTGAGAAGCTCGACGTCTCCCTCATTCTCCAGAGAGCATAGCTGGGTCATCGCTAAAGGCAGCTTAAAACACGACAAGCTCAACAGGTCTGAGAAAGCCTCAGTACCAGGCAATGGATAAGCATGTGGAGACTCTGATCCTTAAACAAGAGTCCCTTTGTGATTTTGCTTCCTTAATCGTTACGACGTGGTATATAGTACTCGATTGCATCAGCCCTGTATTTAATTCATGCTAATGACCTCTCTTTTAGATATGCACTTACTGCATTACTTGCATTTGCCAATTTGAAAATGCAATATTGTTGTCTGCTCTCAGCTTCAGTTCCTGGCAGAGTTCCTGGACAGAAGGGTCAGTTTATTGATTAACTGTGCTTCTCTGCTGGCTCCACTTCCCCCAAGACTTGAGAAAACTCCAAGAAACACGTGAAGGAAAACACTGCTTTCCTGCACATTCTTAGGAATAGATGGTTTACTTGCGATGAGTTTCCTTGGATTAGATATACAGATGGATTTTGGGCTTCTTTATTGGACTACATTTAGCATCCGGCTAATTTGTTTGTATGCAGCACAAAAGATTTGCTATGCCTGTTAGCATCTTTCTATTCCATTTGCACAGTTTTCAGAAGGGAAGGTTTGTCCCTCGTGAATGTTACAGAATGCATTACATCATTCATCTGAGACCTGAGCCTTAGCTGGAGGTGAAGTCATGCTCTTCTTTCTGAAGGTTTAACGCATACTCAGCTGGCTATACTCAAAGCTAGTTCTATTAACAGTTTTTTACTTAGGATAACCAATAATTTATACAAATAAGTAAGCATTACACAGGCCATGATACAAATCATATTCTTTAGCTGTTAACAAATTGACTAATTAAATGTTAATACAATGGTAGCAAATTAAAGTCAAACCAACACAAAAACAAATTACAAATATTATAAATTTAAATTAAAAAGAGAACTGTGGTATTTTACAGTTGTAAGTGACATATGTACACTGCTTTCAGATTTATGTATCAGTGTCTTGTGATAGAAGTGACATTTGGCCTGTCTTCTCAATATGATGAAAAACAAACGGTAATTTCCATTAATTCAAGACAAATGCTTGACAACCATAATACATTTTTGTAACATTTCCTTAAACCTGCCAACAATGTGGTCTTGTTATAAGCTAAACGAAAATGACAGAAAAGCTGTAATACCAAGTCCTGGGGCCTGTACTACAAAGCGGGGTTACTGGCTTATCGGGGTAACTTGGTAGCCTGGGCAAAATGTAAGTGAATGAATATGAAGTCCATTTAAACTATGTAACCTTAAATCCGACAAGTTACCCCGATAAGCCAGTAACCCCACTTCGTAGTACAGGCCACTGGGGTCACTTAGCTTGCATATGAAGTACTCACCCAATTATTTTAAAACCCATCTTCTCCTTAAATACAAGACCACAGACTTATCTTGAGAACTTCTACATATATTACCCTGTGACTAATACAGTAATATAGCACTATTTGGCTGCTTCCAAAATAGCAAAAACAACATGTGAAGCCAGAGACTTTTGTTCAACAACTAAACAAGTTCACCGTTCAAAAGAAAAACATTGTGGCTACAGGACATTCTAGGTATAACCATCAGCCCTTACCATCACTGCACTTGCAGTCAGCATCAGTGTCGTCCGCCTGTTCGCAGGGAGGGGTAGCTTTGAACTGCTTTCGGAGCCATGTGATCTGCCCTTGTTTCTCACCCCTTTTGCTGCCGCTGGTGCTGTATTTCTGCTGAGGCTAAAAGTCTACCTCCCCCTCGCTTTTTCTCTCTGGTAATTTGTCTTGGGCCCAATACTGAGCCATCACTCTTCCTTCCGTCTGTCAGCCACACTAACTTACACAAGACATCCGAGCATCCCCCTCTTTGGCTCCCACTAGAGTCCTAACATTGCATTACATTGGTGGGTATAAAAATTTCATATTCATAGAAATTAACTTCTACTTTATTCCTTATACTGTAGGCTTCTGTTTCCAGGTTTCTCTGGGTATCTCTGGGTTTTACTGAAAACCACAGTTCATTGACAGCCTGGGTCCTTACCTTCATCTCCAGAACAGTCTGCAGGGCTTTGGTTTTGGCAGGATCCTGATGGAGTTGATTTCGCCGATGCAGCTCCTATAAAAGACCCCAGCAGCACACTAAAATATCCAGTGAAATGTGATCATATTCTTCCCCGTGTTCACCACAACAATAATTGTTTGAGTTAGCAATAATATTAGCATTTACATTTCCTGATATGCGAGTCATGGCTGGATCATTAGCAATGCCATTCTTTATCTACTCACCCTTTCACCAACAACTACACAGCTACTCCTGACCACTTTGTAGCACCAAGTGTTGATGTGGATAATTAGAAAGGAGACCTTCCCTATAAATGTGCATGACAAACAGGAAACACCTAATATGGAGCCATAATAACTACTGTTTCTGTTCAGACCATCAATGCCTTATCCCTCCTACCTACTTTCTGATCTATCAGAACTTTAGCCAGATATCCACCTCTGTACATCCAATCTCTGTCAAAATAACACCCATAGACTTCTTTAAAACAGCATAATCTTAGCATTCCAGGGAGAATTGGGCACTCACATACCAAGGTCTCCTACACCCATTTTCAAATGAAAATTTTATCTTGGATATTAGTGTGTTACTAGATTTCTAAACTAATGCAGGCAACAATGTTAGGAAAGGTAGAAAAATAAACTGAATTCAAATGCGGACTGTTTTATAGCTTCTAAAACAATATCTAACCTGACAGCAGTGAACCATATTCTGAAATACATTCCTAAGCATTATTTGACTGTTCTGTAATGAGCAGATGGATGACACAGTGACTCACTGGTCCACACCCTAGGGATTGAAGTTTAATTCCCATCCTCGGTTCTGTGTGTGTGGAGTTTGCATGTTGCCCACATACTTTCCAATGTTAGCGAATACGACCATTTCCTCCCACAATCCAGAAACCACTAATCAGGTGAAATGAACTGGTGAATCTAAATTTCCGATCCGCAGTGTCCTCTGCCTTGGGTTAGGCTCCAGGATGACTGTGACCCTACAGCTGACATGCCATTATGGAAAACTGATTAATGGATGAATGTTAGAATAGAATCTAATCTCAGTATTTGGTATGTATTTCACCATTTAGGTAATAGTGATAATTTGACAATTCTAGCCCACTGTGAGCTGAGCTACTGTACATCTGGCTCACATCTCCTCATGTGGACAGTTATTCCCAGGCCCCATTTCATGCACTGGTGCTTAGTGAGAAGCCCAAGGGCTGTGCCCAGCACAAGCGGCGCCCTTTGACACGCAGAGAGGGTGCTGATGTGCAGCTGGCCACTGGTGTGTTGAAAGACTAAAATATTTCACTCCTGTGATAAAAATGCATACACAGGGCACTGCGAGCAAATGATACCCAAGGACAGAAACACTATTTGATATGAAACTTATCCTGAGCATAACTGCATGCTAATTAACATGCATGTTTTTGGAGGAGGTATGAGGCCACAGTATCAATCACAATAAGCTATTTTATTCCATTTCAATTTAAACTATATAATATTCCCCTGTTTCAACAACAGTTGAAAGTTTAGGTGAAGGCATTGCATAGAATCCCAAAATTCAGAGCTAAAATCAAAACATTCACTTAGTGTCTCTCGGGGAAGCTGATGTTACCTGTTTTATTTCATTTCACAAAACTGCCAGGCGCAGCTATACATGGGATAAGAAGAGAATAATTGGCAATATTTGTTTGATTTTATTGAAGATTTATACCTATAGCTATTTTATTCCATTTTAATTTAAACTATATAATATTCCCACCTGTTTCAACAACAGTTGAAAGTTTAGGTCAAGGCATTGCATAGAATCCCAAAATTCAGAGCTAAAATCAAAACGTTCACTTAGTGTCTCTCGGGGAAGCTGATGTTACCTGTTTTATTTCATTTCACAAAACTGCCAGGCGCAGCTATACATGGGATAAGAAGAGCATAATTTGCAATATTTGTTTGATTTTATTGAAGATTTATACCTTAAAATCTTAAGATCAGTCATGCGATTGGAATCAAATAGTGTTTCAATCCTCCTGCAATTATATGTACGTGTGGTATATGCTATATGTTAATGTGTGATAAAAAAAAATTATCGTTTAACATTTCTTATAATATTCAATTCAATTTCATTTGTATAGCGAATTTTCACAACATTACATTACACACGTTGCTTTACATTATCCCGGTTAGCAATGAACAATCCAGAGGCGACAGTGGAAAGGATTATTACATGTAACCTACAGCAAACAATCAATGTGTATGATAAGATGTATATTTCTGCTCAGGTTTGTTTTTGCATTTCTTTTTGTTTATTATAGAAATAAATGGCAACATAAAAAACTGAGTAACCCAGAGGCAAAATTGGCAGCATAAACAATGAAGCTGTGCAATTTGAGTTTAACTTCAAATTCATTTAAAAAATCAGACAAAACTGAGGTTATGGTATTGAGGTCATAATGGTGACCTACATACTCCCCCTTGTGTTAAATACTACTGTTATGAGTTTTATTATTAGTTAGGTACGATTAATCCTGATTATGACAGAAAACTGTGTGATTAATTAGTTTTTTTGTAGACCCATCGCCATGACCTCAGTAGTAAAGAAGTCATTTGAGTGCTTTGTACTGTTTCATCTCAGATCTATCACCAACTCTCTCCTGGACCCAATGCATTTACATTTACATTTACAAAATTTAGCAGATGCTCTTTTCCATAGTGACTTACAACCAGTGCTTTGTAGTCCATGACTGTTCTTTGATCTATAAGCTAGACACTTGGATTCTCCCACCAAGTAATCCCCCCAATCCCCCCCCAACTCCACCTGCAGGTAGATCACCGACTTCCTGTTCAACAGGAAGCAACATGTTAAGCTGGGGAAGCACATCTCTGACCACCTGACCTTAAACATTGGTTCCCCTTAAGACTGCGTCCTGTCACGCCTGTTGTTCTCCCTGTATACTAACAGCTGCACCTCCAGTCACAAGTCCGTCAAGCTACTGAAGTTCATGGACAACACCACCCTCATTGGACTCATCTCTGGTGGGGATGAATCCATCTACAGGAGGGAAATTCATCATCTGGTAGCCAGAAAAACTTGGAGCCCAACACTCTACAGACAGTGGAGATGGTAGATGACTTCAAACGCAACCAAGTTCCACCACACCTCCCCTGCACCATAACCTTTTGTGAATCTCTGGTCAACACAGTTGAGTATTTGCATTCCCTGGGCATCATCATCTCCCAGGACCTCAGATGGGAGCTGATCAAAAAAGCCAACAAAGGATGTACTTTCTACAGGAGCTGAAATTGTTCAGTCTGCCAAGATCAATGATGGTGCACTTTTACACAGCCATCGCTGAGTCCATCCTCACCTGCTCCATCACCATCTGGGACGCCAAGGACAAGGACAGACTGCAGCGTATCATCTGCTCTGCAGAGAAGGTGATTGGCTGCAACCTGCCATCTCTACAGGAACTATACTCCTCCTGAACCCTGATGCAGGCAAGAAAGATCACAGCGGGAGTGTTCATACAACGACTCTCCGGCAAAAGAATCAGGACTACCGAGAGAAGAACTACATGCCACAAAAGTAGCAGCTAAACTCATCAACATACTGACGCTATCAAATGTAGAGTACAGAAATATAAAAATATACCTGAAACCAACAAGAATTGGTCACCAAAAGACATTAGCATTCCACTGCATGGAACACCACGGGAACACCAGCTCACGGGAACACAGGTAATAAGTTCTATTTCGCTATATTTTATTTTGGGTAACTTTTGAATTCCTTTTTTGCTTTAAAAATATTCCAATATTTATCCCAAAAAATTCACATCACGATATTTCAAATTTTTCCAATATCGAGTGGCCCAACTAAGGAGCATATTTATAACTAAAAAACTGATATAATCAAAATAATTTTTCTTGTATTTAACCTGTAACTTCACTGGCATGTTCAATAAAATGGATGAAAAGGACCAATTTAAATCCATGTAATCCCATTACAGGAAGCTTGGAAACACCCAAGAGACTCGTACTGGCTTTCATACATAATAGCAAATGGGAAATGGTGTATTATATTGTATTTATATTAAATATTTATGACTTCAGAGTTTAGGAATTGACATTTAAGTTATTAGATATTTTTATGGTTTTATATTTTATAAATTCTTATGTATCGTTTATGTATATGTTATTGCATTTCTTTATCAAGAATACAAAGACGCATTACTAGGTGGGATCTTTCTTGGTTCGTGAGCACACACCTCTCGGAGTTGCATGTTCTCCTTCTCCTTCTGGTCCAGCACCACCTCTAGGTGGCAGAGTTGTGAGTCGGCATCGGCCAGCCTCCGTGAGCGCTCACTGGCATCACCGCCCAGCCCCTTGCTTTGCAGCATTTCCAGCAGCTTCTTGATGGACTCGTCTCGCGCTCCCAGCGTCTGCTTCTGTGTCTCGATGCGCAGCTCCATCTCCTCCAATGTCTTGCGCAGCAGGAAGAGCTCCTTGGCCTGCCGCTCGTGCTCGGCCTGCAGCCGGCGGAAGTTGTCCTCAGTGAGCTCGATGGTGGCATGCTCTGCGCTGCGGCCTGCGCTCTCCTGTTGCAGCAGCAGGTTCAGGTCCCTCTGGGTGCGCAGCTCATCCTGCAGGGCCTGGATAGTCATCTGGAGGTGCTGTAGGGAGAGGACTGAGTATCAAGGTCCACAACACTAACCCAGACCATAAACCTACAACATGGGAACAGGGCCTGAACACATTCCAATGCCCTGCAATTAATTCCTGAAGGGTCCCACATTAGAAGACGCATCCCTCTACTTTTTTTCTTTTTATTTTTTTTTTTTTTTATTGCCCACCACCACCCCCCCTCTTCGGAGGACAACTTTATTTTACATTACATTCAAGAGCATAGAGTGTGGCCGCTCCGAACTCACCAGTACCGTGGAAAGAGGAAAAAAAAAAAAAAGAAAAACAGGGGGGGATACAGAAACAACAAGCGTAACAATAACAGACATCAATCAACATGGGGAGAGGGGGAGAGAAAAAAAAAAAGGTATACAGAAATAATAACACTAATAATGTAGGTGGGATGGAAAAAAATTAAGTATAGGGGAATACAGAATACAAACAACCATAAGAAACATAACACTCGTCAAACAACAAGAATTATAACAACATCAGTGATACTAATAATAATTAATAATGTGACAAATCGGTATTATATATATGTAGCATACACACACGTGATCGTACCCTTATATATGTATATTTCAATTCCTAAATCTATAACATACCCTAAAAAGTAATAATAATATTACTACTAATAATAATAATAATCTCTCAACCATTCTTGTATGCATGTGCAAGTGTAGGTGTGACCTGATTTGTCATTGGATGTGCTGGCATTTGATGCCGTCAGGGGAGGTGACAGCACCCCCCCACCAGGCCCAAGGCGAAGGCAGGAGAACCAGGCAACCGAGGCCACCCTACCGCCCCCCCGGCACAAGGGCCCACAGTCACGCATCCCCGAGACAACCACCCGCCCAACCCGAGAGGTAGCCCGCGAGGGACTAAGGGGGCGCCAACCCCCGCACAGGGAGGCCCGCAGAGGGAGGACGGGCGGCGAGCCCCCCAGCCCCACCCGCAACCCCCCCACCGAGGCAGGCGGGTCCAGGGCCGAAGGGCACCACCAACCGGGACCTTTGATTTTATTGAAGATTTATACCTTAAAATCTTAAGATCAGTCCATTTATGGGCATGTCCAAATCCATTTTACTATTTTGAAGCAGAAAAAAAGACTTTGCGCCAGCGCAAGGCACAAAAAGGTTGTCCTAACCCTCTTAATTAACCCTTAGCCCTCTTGGGTGTAATAAGCCAATCACAATCACAATGGTGTGTTACCTCACCTTTAAAAGGCAGGGGTGCATAAGCTACAGCAGATTGCTATTATCATGGCAAACCAGGGCCACATTTCTTGATAACGGTGACTCTTAGTGTCTTACGAAGACTTACTAAAGTTGTTTACTTTGCCAGAACAATCCCTCAAGAGGTTGCTTAAGGGATAGCTTCTTATGTGTGATGTTACTAGGCGCCGGAACACCTGATTGGTTCACATCAATGACTGCAGCATGAGAGATAGTGGTGTTCTTTATAAATATAACACTGCAGGAATCCTTCAAAATACTGCTTTAATCAGAACTGGGGAAAACCTAAAAATAAAATACAAAATTAACAAATTAAATCATCTAATCATAAATATGATTTTCGACGATTGGGTGCACAAACCCACCTCCCAAGATTGTGGTATCACCATTTTATTTTTATTTGTTCTATAAAACACCTGCATACACCAATTTTGTGCATGTGTGCCTGTCATTGACATCAGGAGGAGCAATTGCACAATAACCGAAAGAAAAGTTGCGTTACTGTCTTAACATAGGAGAATATCCTATGTGCTTCATTATTGACTACTAAGGGCTATTCCAGGGTGCTTTTTTTGGGAAAATATATTAGACTTATATGTAAATAAACCTGCATATTCGACTCTCATCAGCCTTATCAAAGTTTTGATGTACTGTGACTTTTGCACTTTTAAAGAGGTGTGTGCATTCCAGGAAATTTACACTCAAACACACACACACACACACACACACACATACAGTATATAGATGTGTCATTAAGCAGAATAATTACGTGAAAGAACCAGTTTTACTGTTTAATAAAATGTATATAAATGAAATAAAATAAAATAACAAAAAAACATTAGTGTGCTTCGACTGCGTACCTGTGTCCGTAACAAGCGTTGATTGTGCACCTACACCTTTCTAAAACGTGCAGCAGCAGGTTTTATATTGTTTAATAATACACCACTGACTTTAGACGGGTTTTTTGCTGATAATGTGCCCAGCCACACCTCATTTAAACGACAAGACTCCTATGAGTCAGAAATACTAAATTATTTGTTATTTTGAAAATGTGCACGCTGGGTGTGCAATTTAGGAATGACCTAGTATGAAACTAGCAAAACGACTTTGCGTTGCGCTTTTTGCCAGTGCAAAATAGGGCCTTCCATGAGACACACAGAAACATGTACAGGTGGAGTTAGGGCGCTGTGATTGCAAGGCTGCAGGTTCAAATCCTGTATTCAACAGGGTGATTCCACCTTGAGCAAGGCCATTAATTCCCACTTAGTCCAGAGACAACCTGACCCTGATTCCTCAAAAAAAATGAATGTTGCTTTGGATAAAAACCTACAATTAAACTAGAAAAGATGCTATTGAAACAACAACCAGCCCAAGCAGCCCTGTTACCCCCTCACCCCACCAAATCCCTGCTCCTCCCACATCCCCAACCTCTACAATTTCTAGTATTACTGGATGGATCAGCTGGAAATGTAACAGCCCATAAAAGTGCTTTTACCTCTATGCCGAGAGCCCTCACATACTGTACCAGCACCATCTCCCCCACCAATAAAGCGGTTAACTGTATTTCATTGTCTTTATTTTGTTTTAATGTCCATGTCTTCAAATATCATTTATATTCTTTATACCTCTGAATATTTGCATTCTATTTATTACTTTCTCATTTGCACTGTGATCAATGTTTTGACATATCAGTAAGAAAAGACACAGAATGGTATAATTGAGTAAGTAAAATGTAATAACAAAAATACGCGCACATACAGGCACAAACAGACCCCACTGTGTTTTTCTTCTGAAATCTAATGTTATTTCTATCTAAATTGTTGTTGACTATAAACTCAAGACTCAACAGTTCTTTAGTATCAGCACATCTGTGCACACTGAGATACCATGGGCCCCAATGGTGCTGCACATAAATACAAATACGTAAATAAATGCACAATACAATACAATAAATATAATATACATATATATAAACTATGTTTTTGTGTGTGGTGTGTGTGTGCAGTGTAGTGCAAATAAACAACGTGCAAATTTAATTAAAAAGACAGAAAGACAATAGCAGTAGCCATTGACGTTCAAGGGACACTAAGCAGCCTAGTTTTTCCTTAAGTCATCAACCATCTCTTTTGTCTTTGCAATGTTTTGAGATAAGTTGTTGTCCTGACAGCAGTCTGCTAGATGCCTGACCTCTGCTCTGTTTGCAAACTCATTGTTGTTGCTACCTGTGACGTCTTTCTGGCCTGCTCGCTCTTCTACCTCTGACGTCGCTCATGCATGCCCTGCTGCTGTACCACTGCTGTACCATCAGAGGCAGCACCAGTACCTGCCTGAGACTCAAATCTTCAAATTTGGACAGTGTGAACTGGGACTTGCATCTTGCTCATTTGACTTCCGCTGCTGGGCCTTGGAGGATGGGCTCCCCTTTGACTTTGATTCCTCCCAAGGTTTCTTCCTTCTAGGGTGTTTGTGCCTGCTACTGTCGCCCCAGGCTTGCTCACTGGGGGCTTTGGGCAGGGATAATGTAAAGCACTTTGAGACAAAGTAATGTTATGAAAATGCGCTATACAAATAAAGTTGAATTGAACTGAACTGAATTGCTGATGAGCTCCACCAGTGTTGTGTCATCTGCAGACTTGATGATGTGGTTTGAGCTGTGTGTGTATATGTATGTGTGTGCGTGTATATGTACTGTATGTGTGTGTGTGTGTATGTGTGTATGTATGTGTGTGTATGTGTGTGTATGTATGTGTGTGTGTGTGTGTGTATGTGTGTGTATGTATGTGTGTGTGTGTGTATGTGTGTGTGTGTGTGTATGTGTGTGTATATGTACTGTATGTGTGTGTGTATGTGTGCGTGTATATGTACTGTATGTGTGTGTGTGTATGTGTGTATGTATGTGTGTGTGTGTGTATGTATGTGTGTGTATGTGTGTGTATGTATGTGTGTGTGTGTGTGTGTATGTGTGTGTGTGTATGTGTGTGTTCCCCTCAATGTGATAAAAACCTGTTATTTTGATGTTGGCACCATTGTTTTGGTCCAAGGGGTAATTCAATCTCATAAAATCTGTGAATGCAATCAAAAAAGTAAAAGTGTCAAAAGTCTTGTATTTTGTTTGGCTACTTATGGTTAAGGTTAGGGCTGGGTAGGGGTTAAGGGTGTCGTGATTGGGATTAGGGTTTTCCCCATAGAAATGAATGGAAGGTCCCCATTAAGATAGGTAAGCCAACATGTGTGTGTGTGTGTGTGTGTTTTGTGTGTGTGTGTGTGTATGTGTGTGTATTGTGTGTGTGTGTGTGTGTGTATACACATTACCATCATACTTCACACACTTCATGGGCAATTCTGAGATGCAAGTTCACAAAAGCACATGTTTTTAGAATGTAGGAATAATCCTGAGAACCTTGAGGAAATACAAAAAGAGCCTGGGGCTGGTGTTTAGCCCCCAGCTCTGGAGGTGTAGGGCCATCATACCGCTGTACACTGTGCAGCCCTTAGACCTATACATGGGAAATTAGCGGTGTGCTGTGACACTGGTCCCATGGCACAATCTTCCTTTGTACTGGTCAGAGAACACAAAATGCACAAGAGCTTTCAAAACTTTTCCAGCAAACCTGTCAAGGGTAAATTGCAACTTTAAGGAGAGAGAGAGAAAAAGCAGGAACAGATACAAACAGAAGTCAATAGCCCTAAATCCGTACCCACCGGTTCTGTCCAAAATCAATCCTGCATTTCCGTCAGGACATCAAGCAGAA